TGGGAAGAGATTAACCAAAGAAGTTATATGCATAACCCATGGACACAGTTAATAATAGGGTGAAGGCCTGGGAAGGGGGTGGGAGGGAGGTGGAGGGAATCAATTGGGGGAGAAAATGGTATACCTGTAATACTCTCAACAATAAAGATAAATTTAAAAAGTAAAAAATAAAATAAAATAAATAAAATAAAATAAAATATTTTTTCTTATAGATTATGCTTTTGGTGTTGAATCTAAGGCATCTTTGCCTACTCCAATATCACAGAGATTTTCTTCCATTTTTTTCTTCAGTTATTTAATTTTAGGACTTACATTTAGATCAATGATTCATTTTGAGTTAATTTTTGTATATAGTGCAAAGTATGGATTGAAGTTGATTTTTTAATATATTAATGTCCAGTTGTTCCAGTACATTTGTTTAAAAGACTACCCTTTCTCCACTGAATTGCCTTTTCATGTCTATTGGAAATTAATTGACCATATGTGTGTGTCTATTTCTGTACTCTCCCATTGATCCATTTGTCTACCTTGACTGCAATACATCTTCTTCAGGATCGCTTTATAATAGTCTTCATGTTGAGTAGTGTAAATTCTCCAACTTTGTCCTTCAATTTCAAAGTTTTCTGGGCTGTCCTAGGCACTTTGAATTTCTTTATGAACTTTAGAATTGGCTTGTCAATTTCTTTAAAAGTCTGCTGGAATTTTTATTGAGATTATGTTATATCTACACACAAATTTAAGGAGAATTGACATCTTAACAATATTCACTTCTCCTCGCGTGTATGAAATTTCCATTTATTAATCTTTAATTTCCCTCAGCAATATTTTCAGTGTTCAGATCTTGCACATCGTCTGTCATATTTATTCCTAAATATTTCATATTTTATGCTATTGTAAATGGCACTGTTTTCCATTCAATTTCCAATTCTTTGTTATTAGTATATAGAAATACAGTTGAGTTTTGTATATTGACATTGTATCCTGCAATCTTGTTTAACTCACTTATAGTTGTAGTGGCTTTTTTGTAAATTCCATTGGTTCTTCTACATAAACAATCAGGTCATCAGTGAATAAAGACAGTTTTTACTTCCTCCTTTCCAATCTGTATGAATTTTGTCTTAATTGTTGTACTCACAGGATTTTAACTCAGAGAGGCTAATGCCATTGAAAGAGTTTTTATTACTTACATTTCCCAAGGGGAGGGGGCAGACCATGCCACATATGGACACCAGTGTCAGTCAGGCGACAAACGCAAGAACAAGGGGAAAGCAACAGTCTTTGTTGTGTTCATTGCAGGAAAGGCAAGGCAGGACAGGGGAAACAGTTTAGGATTGGCTAGTCTGACTCATTCCAGTGGACTTTGGGCTATCGGTGCTATTTCTAGTTGCCTGGTACCTGGCTCAGCGTTGATTTAGGGCAAGGGAAATAGAGGCTTGGTGTGTGAGTGTTAGGTAAAGGAGGTAGTTTAGAATATGGGCCTAAGATTGGTTAGTTTGCTTATGAGAGGCATGCTTCCAGGAGAACCCTTTGCTATCTCTAAGAATTGACTAGGGGCAGTCTCCCCCTAGTCAGGGAGCCTGAAAATGACAGCATCAAGCATACAGAAAATAAGAAAATATAGTTAGTGTAATCAGCCCTGTAACGAGTGGATGCCAAACAGATAAATACAAGATCCAAGAAAATACAGTTAGAACACTTTTATTTCCTTTTTTTCCTATTGCAAGGGCTAGAAACTCCAGCACAATGAATGGAGGTAGTGAAAGCAGATGCCTTTGCCTTATTTTTTATCTTGGGGGAAAAACAGAAGGAGTGTAAGATGCCATGGAGGCAAAAGGGTGGGGCAGTGATGAACTTGGTCAATGAGGATGGGAGAATGGAAGCTCAGGAAAACTTGGGGAAGATCTAAGGCAGTGGTTCTCAAAATGGGGTCCATGGCTCACTCTGTCCTGCTCCTTATCACACTGCTTCTGACCTCTTCTCCCATGGCCACCTTCTGCATTCAGGTTCTGCCCATCTTTGCGTCACAAAACACCAGGATTTCTTCCTCCCAGAAGCCCCCTGTGAGCGGAGCCACAGCTTGAGAATGATTCCCAAGCCCTCTCATTCTTGTTGGGGGAAGAACGGTTGAACAAATCAGGAGACCACATTACATCTCTGAGCAGAAATCATGTCTCACAATTCCTAGCCTCATGGGGATACAACTGGGTCCAGGGGACTAAATATGACATGAAATGTGACTTGCATCCAGGGAGACTGTGTATGGAACCAGCATGGCCTGACAGCACAGCAGGTACTCTGTGAAAGTTACCCAGAGCCTGTTTTATAAGGATCTGTGCTGCCCAATGGAATAGGCAGTGACGCCTCCTGGTGGGGTCCAGGCCCCCCACTCTGGGAAGGAGGAGACTGTCCAGCCAGTTCCCACAACTAGTGGGGTAAGGGGAGAATCAATCCCAGGTGTCACCCCACAGACAAGGAGTCTATCCTCTGAGATTCCTGCTGAGAAGCCAGTGGTTCCCTTGTCCTCACTTCTGCCCACATTTCCAGCCATTAACAATTTGCCCAAACATCATTCACAGCCCAGAGGACTGCATGACATTAAGGCTCTTTACCCATAATCCTCATGGGTAAAATGAAGATTACAATATACCCACCACAGAATGTTGCAAAGCTGAAAATGAAGCACTTGCTGTTTAGCGCTTGACTCAGATAAGAGGGTTCCATCTCTTCTCAGGCCTGGGAGAAGGGGTAAGAAAAGCAGACTCAGATAGGAAGGGGCTGCCTGGCTGCCCTTGGGTGAAGTGTGGAAGAAAACTGTTAGGATTGGGGAAGAAACGGGTTTAAAAGGAAGTTGGTTTGCCGCATCCACCTCCAGAAGACCAAGGCCACTTCCTCTGATGAAATCATGTCCACCCACCCCCACAATCTACTCAGTAAGTTGATGCCAACCTCATCCTGGGCAGGCAATGGGCAGAGCCTCCTGTGAGTCACCAAAGGTCCCAGTCCCCAATCTCTCACCCTGTTCACCACCACTCACAGCTGGCAGTGCCCTCTATTAGAGATGGTCCCAGGGACTGTCACTGAGGTGACTCATTACTGCTCTGAGTCTCAATACCCTCTATCCAGGGAAGACTCTGGATTAGCCAGGTCACCACAGCTGTGGATGGAATCACCTAAGGAGCATTATAAAAAGACAGCCTCCTGGGGCTCACCCCCCCCAGAGTTCTGCACTCTGATGCCGAGGCCTAGAGATTCTGTGGTGCAACCAGATGGAAGCATCCAGAAGGAACAGAAGGTTCTGTGGATTCAACAAGACTGGAGCTCGAGTTCTGGACCCATCACTTGAGAGGCATGGACTTGGGGCACACCCTCTCTGAGCCTTGGTCATCTCATATGTGAAGTGAAGACAGAGGGCCCTGCAGATCCAGACTTGAATTCTGTGGGTAGAGGCCTGGCTTCCAGAAGGGAGCTGGAAGTGTCAGACCATGCTCACGTCTTAACCTCAGGGAGGGTGTGAGATGCACAGAGGGGACAGAATGGGCCTGTAGATCTTGTTTCTGCTTGTGTACTATAGGGGAGGGGAGGGCCCAAGAGCCAGCTGGATGCACCTGGGGCCGGGCTGGAGGCTGAGGGTGTCCACCAGCACCTCCCTCCTTCTCTCCAAGGGGCTGTAGCTGGGCAGACTCATGGCTGCCTTTCCTCTCTTGAAAGAGCAGGAGCTGGCCCTGCTGTTGCCCCCTCCCCTGCAATGAGAGAAACAGAGGCTGGCTGAGAGAAAGCAGAGAAAAGGAGAGGGACAAAAGGAGAGAGAAAGAGAGATGGGACTGACCCCTAAGGAGATGAGAAAGTGCCTGGCAGACACAGGGAGTTGAGGTGGGAGGGGAGAGGCCCCAGGGAGCCAAGGTCAGGACCACACACATCAGCATGAAGATGGGGACTGGGGGACCTATATCATGGCTCCTTTTCACTCACAAGGGAAGCACTTTTGCAATACAGATAAAGAAGAAGCGAGATTAAAAGGGAAGTGCTGGTCACACTGGGGCAGGCGTGTTTGGGGAAGGCTCCCACAGTCCTCGCCCAGCGGCCAGACAAGCCTGAGGCAGCCCCTCCCCAGGGCCTCCCGGCCTAGAGCTCTGCTTGTCTTCTCACCCTCGGGAGGAGAGCAAGGCGATGGGCCTGCCCCTGCTGCTGCCCCTGCTGCTGCCCCTGCTGCTGCCGCCAGCGTCTCTGCAGGCTGGTGAGTGGACAGGCCCCCTGGCTCTGCCCGGGGACATGAGGGAGCCCCTGGGAGGGGCTGTGGCCAGCCAGGCTTCCCGCCTGCAACAAACAAGGGGCTGGGCTCGCCCACAGTGCTGGGTCCCCCACACCCCTCACCCTCCTTTCTACGCCAAGCCCAGAGAGGGGGACACCCAGCCAGGGGGCCAGTCCTATCATCTGTCACACTTCTGCCCATAGGTGAGGGTGTCAGGTGGTCTGGGTTATCGTCTTTGTCTCTCCTAGTGGCTTCAACGTCTCCCCCTCTCCCTCCCTCCTCCAGGTGGCTCCGCAAAATGCACTTCAAACTCTGACTATGAAGTCAACCAACCAAAGCACCTCTCAGCCCCGCAGGGTGGCTCCATCGACATCCCCTTCTCCTTCTGTTTTTCCTGGGAGGTTCCCAAGGATCCCAGAGTGCGAATATCCTGGAGATGGAAAGACTTCCATGGACAGTTCATCTACAACACAAGCCCGCCTTTCACCCATGAGGATTTCAAGAACCGCCTCTTCCTGAACTGGACAAAGGGCCAGAGGAGCGGCTTCCTCCGAATCTCTAACCTGAGGAAAGAGGATGAAGCTCAGTACTTCTGCCAAGTCCGGTTGACCACACTGAGACTCGGCCAGATGTTCTGGCAGCCCATCGAAGGGACCAAACTCACCATCACCACAGGTGAGTCCCACTGCTCCGGCCACTGGTGCCCTCACCCCCCAGGACTAGTCCAGGCGCCGCTCTTCCTGACCTTTCTCTCTAACTCCTCTCCCTGCCCCTGACTTCTTCCCAGGCCTCTGCCAACTTTACCTTTTTCACCATAATCTCCCCCAGACTACCTTCCTTGCCCATCCCCCTCACTGCCCCCTCCAGATCCAGCCCCCGACCCCATCCCCAGGCTTCAGCACCTTCCAGGCTCCCTGGTTATCCTCCCTTCTTGCTCCAAGCTGGGGCTCCAGTCCTGTCCCCTGCCCCTTGCCCTCCCCCCATGTCCTCCAGGTGGACTTGACTTTTATAGGATGTGGCCTGCCTTCCCTTTGTCATGTGTCTGTGTGTGGAGCCCCAGCTAGCCCCATGTCTGTGTCTCCCCACAGCCACGAGCTCAGCCTGGCACACACAGGAGGTACCCAATAATGGCCCAAGGCCCCCCTCCACCCCTGGTAACACCCCATCACCTGTTTCTCAGTCTCCCTGCTTCGTTTTCCCATCTGCTCCCCAGAACATGGCCCTCAATGCTCCCTCCCCAGTCCTATCTCTTTCCTTTCCTTTCCCATCTCCCTCTCACCATCTTCATCCCTGTACCTTTCTTGCTTCCCACAACAACCTTCCCCAAGTCCCCACCTTCATCACACAAACGCCTGTGTTGTCCCCTTCTCCCTCTGTCCTGGTCATTAGGGGCCCCTCTGCATTAGCAATAAGGGCAGCTCTTGCTTACTGTGCACTTGTCCCAACTTAATACTTTGGTATGCATCACCCTAGTTAACCTGCACCACAACCCCACAATAATAGTAGGAACCGCTATCATCTTCCTCTTCCAGGTGGGAAACTGAGGCTTGCACTTGCACAAAGCCACCATCATGGCCGGGTGGAATCTGAACCCAGTCTACCCCAGAGCCTCCTGTCTTAACCATTAGCCGCTCAGTCTCACGTACTGACTTGATCATCTTGTTGTCTTGACCTATTTTAACCTACTATAGGATGTGTCGTATTAATAGGTCTTCCTATATTACCCACTGGGGTGTAGGAATGTGAACCTGGGCTTATCTGTCTCCAGGTCAGTGGGAGAGGGACTCTCTCCCAGGCCCAGGCATAAAGGGATGCATTGTAAGTTTATTTACTTTTTATAATCACTCGAGCTGGCAACTCTAAACGATGTCAGTGATGAATCACTCCTCCCAGCTTGGGGAAACCCACTGCCCTGTCTTGACCACAGAGCTGGTTTTAGATAATTTGTAAAGTGGCTCACAACCTGAATTAAGCAAACAGCCTTGGGTTTATACTTCCAGCACCTTCTCCATATCTCCTGTGTTAATTTCTAACAAGAGTAGACAGAGAATTTGGTAACCTAAAGATTTTATTAGAGTTAGATTTTTTTCTGTGGCTTAGTATTATAGCAGTTTTTTAATGATGCATTAAATACCTACAAAGGTGCAATCTGTTTGTAAGAACTAAAATTCAATATATATTAATGTAACTTTAAAAACATATTTCCAATACACACTAGGTACTTTACAAATGCTTTCTCACCTATTAAAGCAATCTTGCAAAAGGACAAATACTTTTTGATTCCACTTATAATATGAGGTATCTAGAGTAGTCACCTGGGCCTGGGGTGATGGTGATGGGAACTTGTTTAATGGGGACAGATTTTCAGTTTGGGAAGATGAAAAGGTTCTGGAGATGGCTGATGGTGAGAGCTGCACAACAATGTGAAGATACTCAATCCCATTCAACTGCCACTTACATATGCCACTTATATATGGTTAAAATGGTAAATTTTATATTATCTGTGTTTTTCCACAATAAAAAAATTTTTTTAATCCTGTGGCCTATTTGTAGATGATGAAATGAGGTTCTGAGGTCACACCACTGATCGGTGGTAGAGTCAGGGTTTGAACTGAGTGATGTGGGTTCTCAGCCTTCAGCATTTCACCCTTGGTGATCCCCTTCTGGTATAAGAGCTCCAGGGGTTGCTCCCCATCCCTAATATTCCCCAAACTAGGGAATAGGATGTGACAGTTTCATCCAGATCCCTTCAGTCCTCTAAAGGTGAATTTGCTTATTTCTCATGTCTTCTCAGCCAGTGAGAAAACCACCGAGGGCCCCACCAGCACCCCGACCCTCACCACAGATGGCCTCAGTATCTCAGGAGACAACAGAGGCTCAGGATCTAGGCCCTTGACTCCAGGAGGTATAGTCGGGGTGGCACTGGCCAGTGCTGTGCTCATAATCACAATTTTAGGACTGATGATCTACTTGAAGCAGAAAAGAAGCAAAGGTAAGCAGTCAAAGATTGCACTCTCTCTCCAATCTTCCCAACCATGTGTTTTTCTGAGCCCACCTGCATCAAAATGACCACAGATACCTGTTAAAAGTGCAAATTCCTGCTGGGGTGAGGTCTGGACTTCAAATATATTAATAGTCTCCTCAAATGGTGTCTGTGAGTAATCATGTTTGAAAACCACCACTCCAGACCAACCCCTCTCCACGGATCTGATCATTTTTTCAGTTCTTGTTTTCTGACTCAGTAATTTCTCATCAGTCCTCACCTTTTGGTTCATGGGGAGGGGAGGATCTTCTCTGGGAAAAGTAAGGAGAGAGCAGAAGGGACAAGAAGTTGGCTCAGCTCAGCAAGCATTAGTGGGGTGGCCCTTTTCCAGGGCCTGGCTCGTGAATGGAGTTATAAGTAAATAAAGCAAAGGCTCTGCTTTCAAGGAACTCAGAGGGAGCAGGAAGTGCCCCGAGGGCTAATTGCCTCACTTGGAAAGAGCTATGGTAGGTTGGGAGGAAGAAGAGGGATCAGGGAGGACTTCTCAGAGGAAGTAACATCTGCAAAGTCTCAAAAAATAAAAAAGCATTAGCCACAGAAGTGGTGAGGGTGGTATAGAGACCACTGTTCTTCCAAGCAAAGGAAACAATTCTGGGAACTGTAAGTAGCTCAGTGCTATGGAGGAGGCAGGAGGTAGGAGAAGAGGAACTTGGAAATCACATCAAGAGCCTCTGATCCCAGAGTCAACATGAAGCAGCCAAGAGGCAACCACACTTTGTCTTGCACATACATAGGTCTTTGGAGAGAGCAAGATTCTGGAAAAGGTTAAGAGGGAACCAGTAAGACTTGGTGATTGTATTGATGTAGGAGTGAGGGAGCAGGAAGAAGTTTCATGTTTACAACTTGGGTGAATGAGGCTGTAATGAAACCACCAAGTGAATTAAGGAACAAAGGAGGTCAAAGGGCATGTTTGAGGGAGAAAAATGATTCTTCCAGTTTGGGATATGTTATATTTGAGACACTTGTGTGGCATCTGGGTAGAGATGTCCATCAGAAATTTGAATGTATGCATTTACAATTCAAAGAGAGGGCAGAGTTAGAGGCATTCATTATTTATGCCCCAACACCATCCAAAATTTATTTGAAATTATGTTTAAAAAAATTTGCAACAAGAGTTTCCCTCTTAGATATTAAAGCACAAAGGTAAAGAACATAGAATTGAGACTGCCTGCAATTAGTCCTGGCTAGGTCAAATCTGACACCATGGTACCATTACTCTGTGCTTCGTCAGTAATATGGGGATAATACTAGCAATTACCCTAGGGTTATCATGACAATTAAACATAGTGTATTTAGAGGAGATTAAAGATGGCGGTGGACTGAGTTGAAGCTACACTCATACTCTCANAACATAGTGTATTTAGAGGAGATTAAAGATGGCGGTGGACTGAGTGGAAGCTACACTCATACTCTCACAGGACCAAACTGGAATTACAACTAAAATATAGAAAAACCAACCTGAATAATCAACTGCAACTGAAGATGAGCTAGAGAGCACCCTCATAATCAAGGAGGAAAAATGGAGACCACATAGAGACTGGTAGGAAGTGCAGAGGCGCCACAGGGCTGTCTGAACTCCCACAGGCAGCAGCTGAAGGTCCAGAGGGGTATCTCAGCTATGGGGGGTTCCCACTGAGGACTCTGGGGACTAAACCCCAGGCTGAGCTTCCTGGCCAAGAGCACCAGAACTGAGAAAGGTGCCCACATAACATCTGGCTGTGAAAAGCAGCTGGGTTTCTGCCCTCCAGGGGGAGATGGCTGGAAATGCAGGCACCCTCTTAAAGAGCCAATGCACAGTTTTGTGTGCAGCCACTCACCTTGGGCTCCAGCAGAGGGAGGGCAGAGTGGACTGGAGCTGTGTGAGGAGAACCTAGGGTTGTGGGCTCTGGAGATAGAGCTAAGAGGGCACCACTATGGATTCCTGTGCCAAGTCATTCCCCCATACTGCAGAGGACATCTTTCACAGGCAGACATTTACCTTCCAAGCAGCTTTTGCCTGAGGGGGAAGCAAATGCCCCACCCTGCTGGAAAACCTCTCCCCCTGCCCTGTGGAGTTTCTACAGCCTGAGGCTCATTAAGAGAATCAGATTAACCAGCCTGTAGGCAGAGGCAGATCTCAGAGTGCTTTGAGTCTTTGCCTGACCTGCTTCTCAACCTGGGCCTTGGAAAGTAGACTTTAGTGTGCATCTTGGTCCAGTCCAAATGCACTCAGGNGTCCAAATGCATCTGACCCCAACAGAGGGGACCTCAAGCCATGGGTTGTTGATAGCTCCATACAGGGTACTCAAAGCCAGGCACAAACAGCATCTGACACTGGCCTCACCAGAGACCTTCCAAAAAGACTGACAGTCCTAGCAGGCCTACCTAATACTTAGAAACAAACCCAAATAGACAGCCAAAATAGGAGACAAAAAAAACAAGCCCCAAATGAAAGAACAAGAGAAGTCTCCAGAAAAAGAGCTAAATGAAATGGAGATAAGCAATCTATCAGATATAGAGTTCAGAATACTGATTGCAAGGGTGCTCAACAGCATGAAAAAAGATATGGAAATTATGAAAAATGACCAGTCAGAAATGAAGAGTGACATAGTAGACATAAAGAATACACTGGAAGGAATAAACAGCAGATCAGAGGAAGCTGAGGATCACATAAGCAAATTAGAAGATAGGGTAGAAAAAATCACTCAATCAGAGATCCAAAAAGAAAAAACAATTCAAAAACAGGAGGACAGTTTAAGGGAGCTGTGTGTGGGACAACATAAACGGAACAATATTCACATCATAGCAGTGCTAGGAGAGGTCGAAAATAAGCAAGAGTCAGAGAACCTGTTTGAAGAAATAATGGCAGAGAACTTCCCTAACCTGGTCCAGAAAAAAGTCACACAAGTTCAGGAGGCCTCTACAGAGAGTCCCAAGCAAGAAGAATCCAAAGAGGCCTATACCCAGACACATCATATTAAAATGCCAAAAATTTAAGACAGAGAGAGAATCTTAAAGAGAGCAAGAGAAAAGCAATCTGTTACCTACAAAGGAGATCCCATCAGGTTGTCAGCTGACTTCTCATCAGAAACTCCACAGGCTAGAAGGGAATAGCATAAAGTATTCAAGGTAATGCAAAACAAGGATGTGAAACCAGGACTACTCTATCCAGCAAGGCTATCATTCAAAATAGATGGTGAAATAAAGAGCTTCCCAGATTTAAAAAAAAAAAAAGGCTAAAGGAGATTAGCATTGCAGGAAATGTTAAAGGGACTGCTGTAATTTGAAGTAGAAATAGAAGCATTGCAAGAAATGTTGAAGAGGCTGCTATAATAATAAGAAGAAACAGAGAGAGAAACATAGGCATAAAGAATGAAAAGGGCAATAAGTAAGGACCTATCAATAATAACCTTAAGGACTTTAAGGGAGAGATCAACAGCAATACAGTCATAGTCATGGACTTTAACACCCCACTGACTTCACTGGATAGATCTTCCAGACAAAAACTCAACACAGAAACAGTGACTATAAATGACACACTAAATTAGATAGATTTAATTGATATTTACAGAACATTTCATTCTAAAGCTGCAGAATACACATTCCTCTCATGTGCACAAGGGTCATTCTCAAAAATAGACCACATGTTAGGACACAAAACAAGTCCCTACAAGTTCAAGAAGACTGAAATCATATCAAGTATCTCAGATCACAATGACATGAAATTAGAAACCAACTACAGTAAGAACGCTCAAAAACATTCAAACACATGGAGGCTAAATAGCATGTTATTAAACAATGAATGGGTTACCAATAAGATCAAGAAAGAAATCAAAAATTTCCTGGTAACAAATGAAAATGACCACACAACAACCCCAAATCTATGGGACGCAGTGAAAGCAGTTCCAAGAGGGAAGTTCATAGCACAACAGGCTTACCTCAAAAAGCAAGAAAAATTTTTAGTAAACTATCTAATCCTACAGCTTAAAGAATTAGAAAGCTCCCCTGTGAAGCCACCAGACCAGGCCTTTTGTTTGTTGGAGGTTTTTTTTAGTATTGCTTTGATTTCATCAGTTGTTATTAGCCTATTCAGGTTTTCTGATTCTTCCTGATTCAGTTTTATATGATCTCACTCATATGTGGAATCTAATAAACAAAATAGACTAAGGAACAAAATAGATCCAGAGACACAGAAGCATGGAACAGACTGATGAATCTCAGTGGGAAGGTGGGGGTGGGGAAGTGGGTGGGGAGAGATTAATCAAAGAAATTATGTGCATAACTCATAACCCATGAACACAGGCAGTAGTGTGGTGAGGGCCTGGGGGGGCCAGATGTGGAGTGGAGGGTGTCAATGGGGGACAAAAGGGAGGATATCTATAGTACTTTCAACAATAAAGATAAATTTAAAAACAAACAAACAAACAAAACACAAAATATAATGCATTTAGAATATACCTGGCACAGAGTAAGCACTAGATGAGCATTAGCACTTATAATTATTAAGCTACAATAATTAAAGTGATGCAATACTAGCATATAATAGATAAACAGATAACAGATAAAGTAATGGAAGAAAATAAAAAACTCAAAATATAGGCAGGATAAAAATAGACCCAAGTATATGCAGGAATTTAGTAAAATTAAAAGGTACATTTATAATCAATGGGGGGAAATGAGTAATTCAATACATAGTGCTGGAACCATGGAGTGGAGATGACCTCCCTAAGTATGACATAAAACCCAAAAGCAATGAATAAAAATATTGATAAATTCAACTACATAAAAATTGGGATTTAAAAAAAATTCTGCAAAGAAAATACAACAGTGGTTTCTCCTGAGAGTAAGAAAGAAGGTCAGAGATGAAGAGAAAATGTGATACAGTCACTGAGGAAATGAAAGATAGTATTTGAGGATTCAACTCAGATGAGAAGCTATAAATCTGTGAAAGCATCATTGCACATGATTGT